AATTGCTATTCTCGATCAACTTAATATTCTCGCTCGGTGATCCTCCAACGATCACTGATCGCCGAGTATATTTTCTGCACAACTAGATCTCGAATTGTCGAAATGAGAATTCGCTCAACGGAATACAATGGAACCTCAATCTTTGAACGATTTAATGTTCGAGGGAAATCTGCTTTTTGAACAAGAACTCGAAAGTGTCACTCTGACAGAATAATTGGACATCGAGGAATGAATGAGAAAGATATTAAACGAAGACTAGGACCAAGTTAAAATCTATACGTAGAACCTTGTTGATACAAACATGTCTTTCAGATAATACAGATGTCTATTTTTCTCCATATTCTGCTCTTGTTTGTTTAAATAAAGTGGTTGATTATGACTTCTTACGACTCGACACTCAACTAAAAACGAGGTTCAATCGTTAACACGATATAATCTTAATCGCGTAATTAAATCATTAACGAAAGTAATCTTTAAACACACCTAAGATATTTTATAATATTCATAATTTGTGTCTTGTATTACGTCTGAAATTTCGATGTTTTACACAGGGAAAATTTATATCGAACATCGAATTGTGTTCAAAGTTTAAGAGTCCGGTGTAAAGTGGCTCACGAAAATTATTCGCACACTCGTCATAGAAGATCCTTGTACGTATGTATAAGTAGAACATTTTGAAATTTAATTAGCGCTGCGATGTCACTTTTTATATTCAGAAAAATTCTGAACCTAATCTGAAAATGTACATACATTGGGGCGAGTCACCTTGATAATTCTACGACCTGAAATTACTGCTGCCACGAGAAATTCGAGCAATTGGAAATTCTTGTTCTTAAAAAGTTGTCTCGTGCAACGTAACGATTAATGCGAAGATGATTGAAAATGGTGCAACCTAGAACGCAGAAAATTATTTTCATCATTGATCGTACGCAATTTGCATCTAGTCTAGCCATTGAAATTCCAAAACATGCAAGCATAACACATGTAGAGCTAGTACATTTGTGAAACGCGTCGACAAGTGTACCACCTTTTTTGCATCGATTCGCTGAAACTCGTGTTCTACTCTTTAAAAATCGCTGTCAATCTGAGAGGGGAGAAACTTATTATTGTCGCGTAAATTTGGCACAGAAACTAGTTACCTGCCGCTGCGCGTGTACAGGGTGCTTCGAAGAATCGTCGGATCGTAGGACGATCGGTGTGACACTACGGGATATCGCCTTTTAAAGCTTCGCTGAAGCTCGCGGGTTTTAAATTTGTCGCAACGCCGCGGTGAAAAGAAAAAGAAAGAGGAAACAAAAAAACTAACGGAAAAGTTCGCTTTCTCCCTTCGCGTTCTGTCATCAGGAATCATCACACAGTTCGCACTTGCACGCTGGTTTTCACGCTATTTACAACGAGTCGTTCATTCAGACTCGAGCAGGGTTTTTTTTCTTTTACGTCGGATGTCTTTCTAATAAAGGAAGATAGTGGAGCAACAACGTTCTTCGGAGAACGTATCCCAAGTGGAAGAAAATTGTTAAAATGTGAGATATTGAATTAATCTACTAATCTTGATTAGCTTTCATCCAGTCTCGACTACATCTTTTCCTTTTTATGTTGTATTGTTAAATTTGTAGATTAAAATCAGACGTACTTGCAGCGTTTCGAACGTTGTGGTCCGATTCTGGTCAATTCTAGTTCTACTAAAAGTAATTTAGTTTTCCAATAGAAACGATACTACGTCTCAGAAAGATAATATAATAAATTAAAGGAGAAAATTATTATATTCAAAATTGTTCCAATGACGAGTTGATTCACAGATTAATTGCAACGTCGTTGTAATAAATTTCTTCCACCAGGAATACGTATCGATGCCAAGCATGTGTCTCCTTCGAACGAAAGAGTTTTTCGTCGATAGAATATAATAGTAATTCTAACAAGATCACGGCCCGCCTATCGCTAAGTCCCATGGTCGCTGGTTTGATATTAAACATTTAGAAATCGCTATCTCATCACTATCGCTGAGCGAACATTTGATATAATGCACAGTTAGCCACAACACATAAGGGTTTTTTAATTTTCTTTTCCTTTGTCTTTTTTTTTCTTTTTTTTTTTTCCTTTGCATTCCTCAGTCTGTGACAAACGTTCCCACCTTTCTCGTCGATCTTAATGGACGCTTCCTCCTTCGACGCCATTAACTATCTAAGAATCTTGCGTTTCCACCTAGAAAGAGCATATTTCGAAATTAGATACGCGCGTGAAAGAGTGCGTAAATATAAATTCTATTTCTACTTTTATACAATATACGATATCGAAATTATTCTTTGTTCTTGATTATAGAGGATGCGACGATCTTTCATTTTGGTTCGAGGAATTGGACGATTGTTCGTGCAAAAATGAAACAATTATTTCGAAATAAGTGTATCTCTGTTATTTTGCTTTTACTTTTCTTTTTCGTTCATTTGCGAAAATGATTGAGGTGAATTTCAATATAAAAATTTTGCCAACGAATCTTCATACGTATTTCTAATGTAATAAATTTTTATATTTGATCTTTCACATTGAGTTTCGAATACGCACTGTGTGAAGTTTTAAAATAAATTCTTTTATTTAAATTGTTATTTTAATTGTTTTTGTTACGAATTCGTTTATGAACATCAAATAACATTCCAAGATAAAAGAACTAACTGTTAATGTAAAAATTGTGCAACATTCAATTTATGCAATGAGCTTTCATGTATTGAATTATGTATTGAATTATACATTTATGTTCAATTCTTTCTTTTATTAATATATTAAATACTGAATATACGCTACGTGAAATTTTGAAATAAATTTCATTATTTGTTATTTTATTCTTTTCCCACTCGTTGTGAACAATATGACTAAAATTAGAAGTAAAAGAGATAAAAATTACTCTGTCATACTTAAACGTATGTATCCAAATTGTATCTATCACCTGGATCTTTCTTTCCAAACATTTTTTTGTTGATTTTAAATAAAATGAACATCATGTCTTGTAACAAAGTTTATTTCAAAATTTCAACAAATTCTTACACTATGAATCATTCCATTCTCATTTGTGTCATAAAACTCGTCGCATCCAATATAGTCTATGAACAATAATCTAACAATAATCTTTTTATAAATCAATTTCACCCGACTCAGTCAGAGAATACAAACTACACTATACTTGTATACATTTGCCGCAAAATGTAGACATAACTTCTCACGGAGAAAAATGTAGAAGTTAAAGTAAATGAATCTTCGTGGAAAAATCTTTTACACTCAATAATTCTCAAAGAATTATTTAAATTACTAAGAAAATTACCAACAAAACGTGTAGTGATCGCATGATACTTACAAACTATTATTCGTTTAGCAGTATTATTAAAGTCGAGAGTATAAAATTTAATTTTATACCGAGTGCCAGAGCCAGAGAAAATTTCTAATTTTCTAGAACTCGAAATCTCCCGCTGACTCTATACTAAAAAAAAAAAAAAAAATGAATGTTCCTGTTATATAAACTCGATGTAAGACTCAATGTCTCGACGATAATATCTGTAATAGCTGCAAAGAAGGGAGAAACGCCACGTATCACAATTTCAAAGAACTTGAATCGTGGAACATGCAACTTACACGTTTATCACGAGAAAAAAAAAAGTACATGGAAACAAATTTTATAGATCCAGAAAAATAATGCGATTTAACCGAAAAGAAACATTAAGACAAACAGCGCAATTTTACAAAATTGCAGAATACAACGATTGCTCGTACTGTTCCTTCATATTTTCCATCTTTTGCTAATTTGCTCGCAACATTTACGACCCGCTTGTATAGCCAAAATTACGTTTCTATTCCGTCGAAACATCATATATCACGCATAGGTGAACGTAAAGAGAAAGAAAAACAATATCACGCGAAACGAAGGAAATGCGCATTTGTACGGTGAAAAACGAAACAAAGAAAGCAGGACGTTGAAAGCTTTAAACGATGTTATCTCCCAAAATAAAAGCGTGTGACAGCCGGCGTTTTCCCTCGCAATCGCAGATGAAATAAATATTATACTTCAATAATAACACATCGTGAATTTTTAATTCCAACAAACGAAAATAATACTCGTTTGCGATGTTTGACACTTTTTCCACCTTTGCCTCGCATTTGAAGTTATATCCAACATTACATAATCCGATTGAAAAGGGAAAAAAGAGAGAGAGAGAGAGAGAGAGAAAAAAAATGAACGATTCTGGTGCGAATAAAGCGTGACGCGATAGAACGAAATTTTGTGTGTATGTGTATACATATATATATTGTTTGTTATTAACAAATGAACACTTCTAGCGGAGGAGGATAAAAATTAAATCGAAACGCGGACGAAGATGGATGAAAAATAGAAAAGGAATACTGTATAGTCGTATACACGTGTTTTAAATAAAAGCAACGACTAAAAAGATATATATATATATATATATATATATATATATATATATATATATATATATATATTTTGTTTTTGTCTTTCGATCGTTTTTCAACACCTCGTTTTCTTATCACCTAAAAACGAGGATTTAATTACGGTGTGACACTGGTTTTGGAAATTAGCTCGTCTTAAAAAAAAAATCTTCGATCTTCGATCACGACGTGTAAAAATAGCGGCGATAAACGCTTATATACATATACTTGAAATTTACAGTTTTGAGTGCACGTAAGTAACACAAAGAACGATCGAGTAGTGTCAATGTTCCTCCGAACTTCACCGATTCTCTCTAATTAATTTTTAACAGAGAACATTCTTTATTTACGTATGATCGATTCGATAATTAAATGAAACTGCACTGTTTGTTCTTTCGTTTGAAGATTGATCCGTTTGTGATTAGTAGGAGGGTTTCAAGTAAGTCTCCAACGCAGAATGCAAACAGTTTTTCCTGTTATTATAACGAATATAAACGGTCCAGATTTTTCTTCTTTTTCTTGTGTAAAATAGTATGTAAGCATATGTTGTGAGTGAAGAAAAATCAAAAGCGGGATCATAAATGTTTTATTAAAAAATTGTAACAAAAAATATAATTCAAGAGACAACAAACATAATTGTTTAGTTTCCGAAAATCAGCAGATATAATACAGATTGAAATTCACTCGTGAAGAAAGCACTTATACGACGACAATTAATGTAATATTGGGAATACTTTCATTCAAATTGCCAATTCAATTTTTCATAGGTATTACTTCAGATTTTGGGTTTTATATACCAATTTATATAAACAGGATAACACTTTAAAATGAACTTTTATATTTCATCAAAAGCCGGTTTAGCGTTACGTTATATTCTTTCCACTTTCTCGTCACTTTTTACGAATCTATGTGACGTACTTTCTCATTTTTGCTGGAAAAATATATTAACATCGTTCAAAGAAAATAAAATAAAAACTGAAATTTCAACAGTCATCGTTAATTTCAGTTTTTAACTCTCTAACTTTAACATCCTTCATATGTGTATATAAAACTACCTTAAGTTAGATATCTTTTTTACAATCAAAAATAAAAAGAACAAAAGATTGAACAATCGTCGTCAAACATTCCTCTGGAAATACAGTTTCACTGAACTTCACACACCAAAAAAGAAAAAAAAGAAAAAAGAAACATCTCGCAAACCCAAGACGAAAATCGAAAGAATACACCACCAACGAAAATACTTGTTAACGTGAACATATACCTTTATGACTGTCCCAATAACTTTGTCCATCTTAAATTACCCCTCGATTGTTTCTGGAGATTTGAATAAACTTGATTAACGAAAGTTATTCAGCACAGAGGAGATTAATTAAGCTGGACACAGTTATTGAGACAACCTGCATGTATACGTGTTTATGCTCATACTTTGTAAAACTAAAAAGGAGAAAAGAACATGTATGCACGGTCGTTGCAAAAAGAAAAGGATACGTCTCCCTTCTTTGATGAAGGAGCAAAAAAAAAAAAAAGAAAAAGAAAAAACAACAAAGAAAGAGAAAAGAAGAAAACCACGATAAACGATTCGATTTCCTAAAAACTCTCTCTCATCACACACCTTGTCATCCCAAAGTTCAGCTCGCTTGCGTCACTGGCGACACCGTGAACGGCGTCACCTGATAGAGAAAACACCTGTTGCACACCCTGACAGGCTTCGTATGCCCGTAACGAGGCAGGGGAACGTTATTGCTGCTACAACGGCCACAGAACACCTTGCCGCAGTTTCTGCAATGGTGTCTACGTCTCACCACCGTGAATCCTGCTTGACACGCCATGCAACGGGGCGCATCGTTGTCCGGGACCCAGGCTGGCGCTCTTTCCACACACTCCTCGCCGCGCTCGGTTATGGGAGACGCTGCAAATGCGATTTTCTTTTGTTAAAAAGAAGAAAGAGAATGTAAAACTTAAAATGCTAACGTTATCATTAAAACTTAAAATGCTTGACGTTATTATTAAACGCAGTAACACACCCCATATATGTTATATGAGATTCATATAATTGGAGGGATATTGTAGGATTGTTGTAATAAAATTATATTGATTATAATATATAAAATATATAATATATAAAATAATATATTATAATATAATATATAAATATTATAAAATAATATATTATATATTATAATATATAAAATAATATATTATATATTATAATATATAAAATAATATATAAAATTATATTGATTATATATATAATTTTATGTATATTTAATATATATATTATAATATATGTGTTATATATTTGATTATAATTAAGATAGGATATTCTTGTTTTAAAAAATATAATAAAGAAGTCCTTGTGAGATAAAGATGCGATAATATTATCTGAGTGACCTTTTTGTAGTTGAATAAATAATATCTTCACACTTTCTCGCCCTAGGATAGGTGTTGGAGATTTTGAAGCTTTCGGATGTTCGTGGAACGTGACTAAATGGGATTTTTAGAATTCGCGAGAGATATGGATACTTTGACATTTTCATGTTTAATTCTGTCAGATCCGCCAGAGATCATTTTCTCACTGAATATTTCTATCTCAACGGAATATTTTTGCATTTTCAAATAATAAAAAACTTATGGTCCAATAATAAATTTGTTGTCATCAAAATACGCTCGTATGCAATCGCAAAAATGTTAGAAGAAAAGATTATATCATTGAAATTTATAACAATTTTTAAAATGAAATTCGATACTCGTAATTTTAAAAATTCAAGTTTACAGTAATAAGTGAATACATACATCAGAAAACTCTTTTTTTTTTTACTTATACGTATTCCTCGTTTACAACGAAGTATTCTGAGAATACTTTAAACTTACTTGAAGTAACTGTCGAAAACAATTTCCTTCTGTAACAAACACTTCGTCTTGAGATCCCAGACATTGATAAAAATATTCAGAGATATTTCTGATCTGATTTCTAATTTCGCCAGACGGTAAAATAAATCAGAGTGTCAGTAGAATCATGACTGTAACTAGACTTTTCAAATGCTCCCAAAAGACTCGAACTTCGTTCATACATGATTCACATATACGTGAATTGTCCGCCCAGTCAACCAGATAACACTGTCTTATCTATCAAACGTTTAGATATAAACTGTCTTTCAATATCTACTAGGTTCGCTCTGCTGTATTACTCAATTTTAACATTACTCATTTTCAAGAGTACTTGTAACTTGGAAAAATTTCCCGACCCATACACGCAAAGAAAAACTTGGTCCTATTTCTAAAAAAAACACCAAAATGGTGTAAAATATTCTCACTACAGTTTGCGATCAAGCATTGTGAAAGCAATGCCATCGAAAAATAAAGAATGCACGTATTTAAAAATTATTAATTAAATTTACTGCATATGTTTAAAATAGATCTTCGATTACTAAAATTCGTTGCTGATTTCTCACTCAGTTAAATTCGTTGTTGATTATTTAAAATTTAATGAAACATCAGCAAACATCAATAAAATGTGTAATCCGAATGTTTCCTCGAAATACGAATTGCATGTACGTAAATAACTTTTTAAAAAGATTGGTTAGAAATGAAGGTAAAAATACGTACACGTATTATGATCGGTGGTGACGGTAGTCTCTTCCAAATCATCCTCGTACTCTTGTAACAAATCCTGTCGATCGTGGTTAGTAACTGTGTCGTTTAACGGGCTTGTCACAGGATTCTCGGACACTATACTTTCGTCCTTCATCTCGCCATCGTCCACGATTTGACTGCTGTTCATCAGGAACACGCACTTCAGGATATTACGCAGATCCGATGCGAAATTCGTCTGCAATTGATCTGCAACACCGGCTATACAAACGAACAGACGATGAACGAGATCCTCGGATGATCTGAAAAAAAAAAGAAAAAAAGGATCATTATCAGGAAATGAACGATCGACTGGGTTGAAGTTTAATTCACTTGCATCACGAAGCGGAATATTTTGCAAGTTATAATTTATAAATAAGTTATAATCCAATGATTAAGAATTTTATGTTTGGCTTGTATTTTATTAAAATAAATAAAATTGTATTTTATTAAAATAAATTTTATTAAAATAAATAAATTTATATAAAAATTAATAATTATAGGTGAAATTTAAATTATTAAAGTGAATATAATTTTATATTTATTAAAATATATGAAAATTGAATATTAAACTAGGATTAGATACCCTATTATATTTATATAAAATAATATTTTTATAATTAAATGTTGAATCATTAAAATAAAGTAATATGGCAGCCTTTTAAACTTTTTAGGGAAATTTACTCAGTTTCTGACAATTTGATATTTCATTGTACGGTAGAATGTTTTATAAAAATCTCACACACGAAAAGTTTTTCTCGTTAAATACAATCCTGCTGTTTACAATTTTTTTTTTTTTTTTTTTGTAAATTTATACGTGCATGTATAATAAATTGAATTTATGATATGTATATACGATATATGTATAATGCAAAAAAATTGTCAGCATATTAATAATATACAATATTAAGAGAACGTACACCTATGTTTCATATTAAGAAAATACTATCGCATTAAGCATGTATTATCTTATTAATATGTATACATATCCTCGTAACGAATGAATATTATAACAATACCGCACTATAATCAATTAGTGTTGTATTAATAAAAAAAGTAACAGAATTTTATTTAAGTTAGAAAACATTGTAAATGATTCGACACGTACATCGTGATGCAAATGGGTGGTTGGACAATGTGTAAATACTAACAAATCGCGAAACGAAAGGGAACAAAGGGAAATTTTACCGAAATTTCGCTCGGATCTTATAATTGTTCGCAATCTCGGCAGCCTGCATGGCCAAAGCTATCTCCTCGTCGTCCTGGCAATCGCTCTGAAACTCGCTGGTCTCCGAACTCGAGTCGCAGCAACTCGAACAGCTGGAACTGGAGCCAACGTCCGGCTTGTGGACCATCGTGCGATCCGAACCGATCGACTGCGTCCCTTGAACCGCGGACGCGTTCACCAGTCTCACAGCTCGCGTCGTCCTCTGCGAGTTATTGTCTCTTTGTGTCCCATAAGACACGTCCTGCGTAGTGTTGTGGTGAACCGGCGAAATCAACTCGCTCGCCAGGCCACTCTTGTCCGTTCTTGGTCCCAAACCATCGTTCAGCAGTTCGCTGGGGCTTCTGCTTCCGAACTTCCTCTTGGTCTGCTCGGATCTAGGATTAGCTCGCTCGTGCCTGTCCTTCCTCTCAAAGTCTCTCCTCTTCATCCGTATGATCTGCTCCGACCTGGACCTCCTGTGATCGAGAAGCTTCCTGTTTTGCGGGGACAAATTTCTCTGAGCTTTGGACGCGACGCTGCATGTTCTTTGGCCGGATCCCGGCGTGCTGCGAGTTTCGAAGTGCTGCAATCTCGGGCTGGCGCGAGGACTGTGACTGCCGAAATTCGGCATCTGTCTGGTGTTCTGACTCGGGTGCAAACTGGCCCCGTAGCTGATCAGCCTGGGATTCAAGCAACGGTCCATCGAGTTCGACCTGGAGCTCTCCGTGCTCGCCGACGAGCGAACGTTCTGAAAGTTCTGCCCGGCGTGCAGCTTCTGCCCGTTTCTCTCGTGCTTGCGCTGATGCCGCCGCTTCTGCTTCTCGTCCTTCGTCTTCCTCGACGTAGCGATCTTGTCCTGAGCGTACTGCTCGATCTTCGTCCCGATCTTCTCGATGTTCTGCGACGTGGACGGACAGTTCTCGCACTTCAGATCGCTCCAGAACTCCTTCCTCGAAGTGGACGCGTCGATGCTCAAGTTCAGATTCTCCCAGTTCTCCGTGTAGTTGATCTGGAAGCTGGACTGATTCGAGTCGCAAACGGAGATCTGCCCGTTCCCGTACGCGACGCCGACAAACTCCTCGTTCGTCCCGTCGAAGTTCGACGATATCCGCGGAATGTGTTTCGTTACGTTCGCCTCGTTGTTCGCCGCGTGCAGGCTGTGTACCTCGATCGAATGATCCAACGACGCGACCGTCTTCACGCTTCTCAGGCTGCAGACGCACGACGAGTTGTCCGATATCGTGGAGCTCTTCCTCTTCGGCGAGTTCAAATTCGAGCACGAGTAACTCGTGTTCTCTTGCGTGTCCTCGTCGTCCAGGCAGTGTCCCTCCTGTTGGATCTCGTTCGCGAACGTCTTCTTCTCCTCGGGGCTCTTGTCGTACAGGCTCGTGTTTTCCGACGAGATCACCGTGCAGATCCCCGAGTCAGTCTGCTCGGAGATCTCGTTCTGGCACTCGCCGTCGAGCAGCAGGTTCGACAACGTTTTGTTCGCCTCGGATATCAGCTTCTTCGAGTCCAAGTCCGGCAACGAGTTCTGAATGTGCACCGTCTCGCCGGTCACGTTGTTCTCGTGCGACACCTGGTTCAACAGGTACTGCGTCTGAGGGATCTCAATGTTGTCCGAGCTACCAAGTATCTCGCTGATGTCCGACGTGATGAACTCATCCTGCTGCTGCTTGCCGTGCAGCTGTTCGCCGCTTCGTCTGCTACCCTCGGTTACGTCCGAGATATCGTCACCCTCCGGGGCTGCCTGCGCCACGATCGAATCCGACACTGATAGAGAACTCGCGGCGCGTTCTATCCTCCTCGAGCACGGGCTATCCTCGCAAGATAAGTATCTACTGCTGTTCGACGAACTGGCCGCTTTCTTCACGTGATAATTCACCTCGTCACCGACACTCTCTCGTTCACTAGATGTCCTCGCGTCACTGTTACACCTCACAGCCTCCTTGTACACGTTCGCGGATATGTTTAAACGATTAGGCCCGAGATCCGCTCTCGTCGTCTCGCGGCTCTCCTCATCCTGATCGCTGTTCCCATCGGTCAAACGGCTCTCCTCCTCGAGTATCTGTACCACATCGTCCGCCACCTCGTCCATATTGTTCCCCGTGTTCTTCGTCACTGTGTAAAAATCTACGATGAAGTCTTTACAGTTCGGGTAGCCGGTATAAAAATTGTGAACGAACTCCTCCAGGTCGGGGATGTCCTCGCACGTGGACGACTTCGACGATTGTTTGATCGAGCCTGGTGGCTCTTCGCTCGAGCACAGCAGCTTCTCCAGCATGTGGAGCTCGCGGTTGTTCAACGTCCAGAGGAGCTCTCGTATTTTGATGAGCAGCGACTGCAACCGAAAGAGAGAGAGACAGATATTTAAGAGAGTGTGATGATTTTGTATCCTTTCACATTTGCTTTTATCGTTGACGTTCTTCAAATACGTTCGACATATCATTGTGAAAGTTCACGCTTCTTTTGTAATTTTTAGTTTATGCTTCTAATCGTATTTGACATTGTCGACATTCTCCCCACATCATTATCAAAAGAATTTCGGTACACGTTCTATATGTGAAATACATAAATCTTCTAACGTCGATAGACACTTTCAACATAACATTGATTTTAGTATTCCGAATAAATTGAAATATGTCTGCAATCAAAACACATGCACTAATTCTATGTTAAATGTTCTCTTCGGAGATATTGTTGTTTAAAGAGTTGCTGCTTGTTTAAAGAAAATCAAGATTGAAATGTTTTAAGAACCGCAATGTCTGAACACACAGAAGATAATATACATAACTGAATCAATAACGACAAAACTGGACATTTTAATTTAGCAAGAGAGAATTAGTATAAAAATATGGAGAAAGACTTTTATTATTTGTTATCTTAATAAGATAAATTATATTTATAATATATATATTATATTATATATATATATATATTATATATATATATATATTATAATATGTATTATATTATATTATATTATATGTATTATTATATATATAATAAATTATCTTATCTTAATTATCTTAATAATTATTTATCATAGTAAATAATAAAAGTAAATACCAAGTGGATTAATATGTAATTTTCCTTCACAAAGTTACGTCTTAATTATCTTAATAATTATTTATCATCTTAATAAATAATAAAAGTAAAGACCAAGTGGATTAATATGTAATTTTCCTTCACAAAGTTACAACAACACCCTCTAGACCTTACTAACTATGGAATACAGCCAAACATGTATAAAACGGAATTAATTCCATAAAAAAAAAAAAAAAACTACCGATAACTGTATCGAAATCCACGCGATCTCAAACAATAATAATATAAAAAATGAAAATAACTGAACACTTAGACTCATACACACGGAAGAAATAAAAGAAATAAAAAGTTAAAAAAAAAACAAAGTTACAACAATTTACAATTTAAAATATTCGCAATTTCTTTTGCCGTTGTTGAGTCCGTGCATGTACACAACATGTAACTTTCATTCTATCCTAAGACAGATGGCACGATTGAAGAAAGATTGTAAAGTGCATCGGTAGTTTAATTAATACGTGATAAGCGAGGGTTAATTACACTCGACTATAATCAGTGTCCCGCCGGCTTACCCTAAAAGGTCTAAACACTTCGCTGATGCTGTCGGGGGAATTGAGGCACAGGGGACCTCCAGGCGGAGCCAAGAGGCCAGAAACAATCGCCAAACGAGGAATAGTAAACATCAGAGCTGGCTCGTAATTATCCACGTCGGCCTGGCTGAGCAATCCACGTTCGAGAGCTCTCTGCAACGTCTCCGAAAATAAAACGCACACGAGCTCTTGCTGCTCGTACTCCTTCGTCGATTTCACCGGCACCATGGCGCCCACGTAGCATAACTCGAAATCGGCGAACAACCGGTCGAAGATCTTCAGCGACTCGATCAGCTTCTCCAGCGACGGGTCCAATGGATTTTGCGTCTGGAAAAGGTACTAATCGAAAGTCAGGCGATTAGTGTTACAGATAAAACGTGTTGCAATATTTTTATTAAAATTAGTGGGAAATATTTTTTTAAATACACAATGTTAATATTTTAGAGGATTATATTTGTCATAAACAAAATTTCAACGAGAATTCAACGAAATGGAAAGCGCGAAGTGTATGAAAACGAGATTATCTTTGACAGCAACTACTGCGAAACTGACGCGCAGTAATTAATAAAGGTAGATTAATCACGTACTGCAGTGTATAAATACACTCACAAAAGAAACGTCGATTACAAGAAACGAGCATTACAAGTGATTTTCTTTTATTCAAATTACGTTACGAGATAGAGTTTTTCGAGTATCAAACGAAAGATTTATATGTACAATCATTTAATCTTACATGTTTCTACGAAATTTTAATCCATTTTGAAAGGAAAATATAACCATCGTCTCATTCCAAAATCAATTTAAAATCGTTGCAAGTGTAAAAATTTCTTCATACAACATGGTTAAAAAAAGAAAAGTCAATTTTAACGTTGATAAAACATATTCGCCAACAATTTCACTGTGAACTTTATACGATTCATAAAAATATCTGAAGAGCTGCATATGCTCGGTCATTTAAATGCAAATGTACAAGAATCTGATAATGGCAGCAACGATTGCGCTCTTTTGTCTTGCTGGAATGATTCCATGTTCTTCATTCTCTCGAAAGTATGCATAAATTTTCAACGACCCGGTGTATTGTTTTTATAGAGTCATATAACATTTTCCTATAACGTTAGAAAGGTTTACTTGCTATCAGAAGCAATATTATGATTAGACTATCAGAGAAATTGAATGTGCAACTATGTGCACAATGTACGTGCCTACATTGTATGCAAAAATATGCAAACTATAAATAAAACAAGTGTGAATACTTGATACATTATTTAGAAGGTGGAACAAACTTTCATTTATTCGCCATTCTGTTCATTAATCTCTATTTTATTAATACTGTAATGTGACAATTAATTTTTATTAATTTCCATTGTTTTGTTCTTTTCTAGAGATACGAGCATCACCTTGAATTTATTATACGCCACAGCACGTTACATTTGATTTTGCAATTTTGAAAAGGTATTCGGTGATTTTCAAGATTTTCGGTGATTTTCCTTTGAATTGAAATCAAATGTTACACGTTATACTTGTAAGAATTGAAAATATCAAGTAAGAGAGAAAATATAAAAATAAAGAAAATAATCAAAAACACGAGATATAAAAATATCGCACGACTTCATTAACATTATGCAACTGACGCTTAAACCATTCGTCCATATGTCAAATGATCTACGATGGCAAAATTAAGTGACTCACACTGCACATTAAACGACAACAACACCAAATATTTGAACACCATCGATCATTTCCAGTTACATAAACTCGAGGGGAAAAGCAATTATTTAAGTGCCATTAAGTGCCATTTCCTTAATTTACCTTTATAAAAACATGGATTTGCATAAATGTTCGTAGTTTAATTACGAACCCGATATCAATCACATTCGACGATAATCGAAGGACTATTAAATAATCGATGAAATGAGGCGAAAAAAGAAAACACAAAATAAATAACGCAAATTAGTAAAATACATCGTTGCAGTTATATACAGAGTGTTTCTTTTTTCATTAAAAAAAAAAAAAAAAAAAAACGAATAATTGCCATGTCCTCGAAAGAGTATCGTACGAAAGAGAAAGTTGCATGCAAGTACTCGACAGTGCAGAGACCACGCGTTGAAAAGCATGCTTCTCTGCACGACGAATTTCTAAAGAAGGCGGACTCTGCTTTCGTAAGTGCATAAAAATTGCGCAAAATTTGAAGAATTAATACGAATAATAAACAAAGAATCGAACCCGAAAGTCCACGTGCCTAATGAAGTCCACGTTTCCCCCGGCCAACCTGTGTATATTTCAGGGTTCAACGTTTGCTCCGAATGCAACTTACGTAATCCTCAAGACCGACAGACAGAAAAGGAAGGAACGCAGAAATAGGACACGTCGTTCCAGCACGATGAAACACATATTTCAAAAAGAAATAACTTCGTCCAACCTGCTACTCTCTTTCGGTAATCCGCGAATTCGGTAATTCTTTTCCAAGCTCAAAGCGCGCGGTCTAACACTCGATTCGAGTTGTCTAAACAGACGTAAGAATTTCTGCACTTTCAGCATCCATCAGAGGAGTGAGAAATGATTCGACTGACGTGTACGAAATCGTAAAATTCATTCGATTGATCAATCGAGTAAAAATTGAAACGATTAAGTAAAGAACAATCAAATGAAAAAGAAATACAGAAATTTGTTTTGCACATCTAGAAATCAATCCTGTCGAAACACAGAGATATTTTTTTTCATATTTGCACAGAATGTACGATGATATCCTTTCATTTCATTTCAATAGAAGATTGACGCCGGCGGATTATGAATCGATCAAGTTTTTCAAGTATTTTTCCTCTGATATTACACGATATATAGTATATGTTTTCCATTCGTTATCGTTTTAACTTATCGTTATCGATTAAATTCAAGCTTCGGAAATGCAATACGTGCCTTGGACAAATAAAGATATTTTTTTATTTTCTTATGCAATTAATGAATGTGACTGTACATCATAGACAATCTTAGACTCTTTTCTGTTAACATCTTGTAGGAGCCAGTGTGCAACGTAAATAAATTAGATGATTCATTGTTCTCGGCCCTTTCAGACATTTTTTTATTTCTTTTATGGAATTAAAAAAACACTCTATCCTCGCAAAATCTTGGACTCTCCCTCTGTAACGTCCCACAAAACTCAATTTGATAAAATTCAAACCAATCAACCAAAATGGACACGTAACATAAAAGAATTGGACGATTCATTCGTTCTTATTTAAAAAAATCGTTTCGTTTGTTAAACGAATGCTCTATCCTCGCGTCGCGTTGTAAAATCCAAAAACTTTATACCTATCAACCAAAGTATAGTAGATACGACGTAAAAGAATCAGGTGACTGGTCGTTATAACTCGACTATAATGATTGACTTAATAACTTAATTAATAACTAATATTAATTAATAACTTATTAACTTAATAATAATAAGTTATTAATTAATATTATTATTATAATTAATATTATTAACCCAATATTAATTGATAACTTATTAACCAAATATCAATTAATAAATTATCAGCTTAATATAATTAATAAATTATTAATTACTAACTTGTTAACTTTATATTGATTGATAAATTATTAGCTTAATATAATTAATAAATTATTAATTATTAACTTTATATTGATTGATAAATTATTAGCTTAATATAATTAATAAATTATTAATTATTAACTTTGTATTGATTGACAAATTATTAGCTTAATATAATTAATAAATTATTAATTACTAACTTGTTAACTTTATATTGATTGATAAATTATTAGCTTAATATAATTAATAAATTATTAATTATTAACTTTATATTGATTGATAAATTATTAGCTTAATATAATCAATAAATTATTAATTATTAACTTTGTATTGATTGACAAATTATTAGCTTAATATAATTAATAAATTATTAATTACTAACTTATTACCTTTATATTGATTGATAAACTATTAGCTTAATATAATTAATAAATTATTAATTAATAACGATTAACTCGACCATAGCAGCACGCGCGATAGATACCTTCAGGTTCAGGTGACCCTTCAGCGCGTGTTCTCTCAGCAAATTCCTAACAATGTCCAACGACTTGGTCAAAGCCCTGGCCAGCGGCCTCATCGCCGAACTCTCAGCCTCCCTGTTCATGATCGAGGATCCAGCAGCGAGGCACTCGGCGCCGAACCACAGCTGCCCCGCGAGATTCTCCTGCATCACGTCGTCAGGGAACTTCACCCTGAAGTCCCGGTTCGCCCTGCTCTCTGGTATTAGCTCGTCCATTATCTGGCTGCATATCGTCAACACCTTGTCCTGACAGTGGCGCAGCTGATTCACCAGGGTGGTGCATCTCTCCGGCTCCTGGCGGCCGTCGAACGAGTCCAACTCGCACGCGACCGCGTTCAGTGCCTCGTCCGCGTAGAAAAATTGAGCGAGCAGGCTCGTGTCGTCCCTCTGCCAAGCAAACAAGTGCGAATGTCAATTCTATTGCTCGTACGAACGATGACAATGATGTCTCGGGCAATGAATTTACATGGGGTGTGAAGTGTTTCATCGACGAGGCTAATTAATCGGGCGATCTTTGTAAGAGAAATTTTGTACAAGATAGATACGCAGAAATATAGAAATACGTCTGAATACTTCGAATTTTGCATTTTTATTAACCGGAATGCACGTACCAGCATATCGCCCGGCAATAAACGTAAGCTCATATTCTGAGATGGTTCAAATATCAATGCGTTGACCGTCGCGTTTCGTCGGAACGTTCAATTTTTATGAAACAATGTACGATAAAAACGCGACAAAAGCGTGTATCCATCCGGTTCTTCTTGCGTTGTTTAAAATATTTTTTCGCCGGCGAGATTTATTTCGATTGAATCATTCTAAGATATTTATACGTCGTCACACCCGTGATGCGGATGATTTTCCAGTAAACAAATATAATAAAAATATAACGATGAAATATAAAATTGTATATAAAATAGAATATAAATATAATATATAATATTATTATAATAATACAATATACGTATACTGATATCAAACAAATGATACATATAATAATAAAAGTATAAAAATACAAATAACATAAAATATAATAAAATAAAATAAAAATATAAAAATACAAATAACATAAAATATAATAAAATAAAAAAAAAAATAAAAATAAAATATAATAAAATAAGACAAAAATATAAAAATGAAATATAATAAAATAAGATAAAAATATAATAATAAAATAAAATAAAAATATAATAAAATAAGATAAAAATATAAATATGAAATGAAATATAATAAAATAAAAATATAAAAATGAAATATAATAAAATAAAAATATAAAAATATCGAGAGCTAAAATAAAAATATAAAAATAGCGAGAGAGAATATAAAAGAACATCGTTTTTTTTTCCAATACCACAAAATTCTCGAAATCCTCGTTACTCTTTCAAACGTTTCAAACGTTTGGCAGATGCACGTAATTTTCGCGACTGGCCTCGTAACATACGAGGCGCACTTTTAACATTCTGGAACGAGACATGTCGACCAGTTACGTCTGGATTGCGTCTAGATTGTGTCTGAATCGGGAAATTTAACTTCGAGGCAACATTGTGCGTGTCACTCTAATTAAACTACTACGCTCGTCAATTCTCGTGGTAAATTGTCCTTTCGAAGGAGGAGATGACGGAAGAATTTCCAAGAATTTCCATCTCTCGTTTTCATTGCGGTCGAACGCGAACCGTGGAGAGATGAACTGAACAACGGGAGATAAATAAAACACGGTTGGCAAGAGCGAGTCGGTTCTCGTCGTGTTATACCAGATACGCGCTCGAGTTGTATCTCGAGTTTTGTTTGATTTAACCTACGCGTGTATTCGCACGAGGTCACGAAGCCTCGTCAATTTTTATCGCGCGTGAAAATTCGATAAACGCCCTAACGCAATACACGGATGGAACACACGCTTCCGTCCTTAACGTACGTGCATACATGCGTGCTTGTACTTGACCTTTGTCACGATATCGTGCGTTTCCTCAATCGCGCGTAGCTGGCGGATTATTTGTAAAAATCTATCGCTATCACGCACAATCGCGATATTGAAAAATTGACCGGGCAGCACGCAGCCTTCGAGGTTAATTATACTTGACGCGACCAAATGTTTCTTTGTTACGTACGAGATAATAACGCGATAATAACATACGAAATGACTAGTGCTCGTTTATAACATATTTAACAGGCGTGAAAAATCCAGAGCATTTTAATACTGTACTTGTGAAAAATCCAGCATTTTAATACTGTACTTGTTTTCTTAGAAAGACGAGCATTCGAAATATTAAAAATCGAAATTGATTTCGCTCAAATGGTGTCGTTGGGTCACAGGTGATTACAGTAAATTTGTGTTAGATTAAAATTGAAGTGATCTGATTTATTCGATCTCTAGGAATAATAAGATTCAAGAATTAGATTAAGAATTCTAGAGCTCAACGATTAAAAGTTGAATCAATAATTCAAATAATTCAACAATTTGACAATAATTATACTACTTGTAGCTATATATTATTAATATTAGAATATTATAATATTATAGTATTATTAATATTAGAATATTATTATATTATAGAATATTAATAATATTATTAATATTAGAATATTAATACAACTTGTATTATATTAACTATGTGACTCGACTATTATTATTTGATAAAATGAATCTATTACAGCTACAATTGCTATTCTTCATAATAATTTGCAATTAAAGATTTATTGTAATTTCGTTACAATTTACGACAGATTGTTACACGAGCGAAAAAAATTATAATCAAACGAACAGATTTATTTCTTCGAGTAATTCCTTACCGGTGAAGCGATCGAAACGACACTTTTTTTTTTTATTACGTAACTATGAAATACTTTATTACATAATACGCGTGCATGGTAACGCACCTAACATTCATCGTGCGTGTTACGTGCATTGAATATAAATAAAATTCAGAGAGTCCAACTTTGATGAAAAACAGGGGGAACGAACAGTGTTTATCAATTCACCGTGAGATTTTATTCTGTATCGTTATTAATACTATTAATCTCTGTTTAAGAAGAAAAAAAAAAAACGGAAGTACACAAGCAATTTCGCTCTCGATCACGTAGGTTATCATCCCGATTAGACCGCTCTCGTTCTCGCTCCTACCGCGTCATTAAAACGAGAACCATGTTCAACGAATAAATTCTTCACCTTGTAATGTGTACGCGCTCAAGATAAATATGGCACTGTTAAGCATCTTGGCCAAGTCTTGTAATAATAAGGAATTCCTCGACGAAGTAATTGCCAACTGCTCAAACACGAGCTCTAGAAATGTAAGAAAGCATGAAAAGCCGTCTCAAAGATGAATTAATCTGCGATTTATTTAAAACTCTAGAGAAAACATTATCTCATTGATCAGTCGAGTTGGACACAAGATTAGAAATTTTACGAAATGACGACCGCTCGTGAGAATGATCTAGCCGTGTATTATTTGAAGACATTATTATTAGCGATTATTAGTACACTATACGCGGATGTTTTCGCATAAGTAACTAACTAAAAAAAAAGTGAAGCCTCAGCAGTTTTACTTGTTAACATGTTGTTCATGATCAACGATTTCTGAATATTCAACGCGTTGGCTGGTCAACAGTATGTTAAACATCGTAATACGTAGAATTGCAATGTTATATGTGTACGTTGCAATATTTTTAAATTTTAAAAGTTTTAAACTTTCCGCGTCGATAAATAAGTGAAACAAAGTTCGTAATATATTCCATGAAAAAAAGAACTGAACAACGAAGCTTCTGCGCATAAAATCCTATTAAATGTTTAACATCATTAAATATATTATCATGGGGTGATTTAATCATTAAATTTATTAACATTATCGAAAGTATTTATTCTATTGCGAATATCGAATAAAAATTAAATTAAATGTTAAATCTTTCAAATTGAATATTAAACCTTTAAACCTAAAAATTAAATATTAAACCTTCAAACCTAAAAATTAAATATTAAACCTTCAAACCTAAAAATTAAATATTAAACCTCCAAACCTAAAAATTAAATATTATATCTTCAAACCTAAAAATTAAATATTAAACCTTTAAACCTAAAAATTAAATATTAAACCTTCAAACCTAAAAATTAAATATTAAATCTGCGCACAGAACTCTATTAAATATTTAATATCATTAACTAGATTGATATTAAAAGTATTTGTTCTATTCAATTTATTGTTACCGTTCAATATCTAATATTTATTAATTAAAATATTAAATCGCTCATTTAATTTTAGTTTCAGCAATGCTGTTGATTCTTCCCTGAAAACTAAATAGAAAAAAAAAACTTTTTCATCTTCCATACAGAAATAATTAAATAATTAACCAGTTTCCAACGATGAACAACGAACCTTTGACACGTATTTAATAAACGATAACAAGAGCCAGACACACACATACGTGTATTATACTTAAAAAAAAAAAAGAGGCAATTTATTTGCTACTCTTTTCCCTCCCTTTGTATTTTGCTGTAAAATTAATTAGACATTGCCACACGACGATCGAGTTATTTTCCGCGGGAAGAAAGATGAGAGGCAAAGAGGGATAAAAGAAAGAAAAGCCGCGGGAGATATTTATAAATTGATACGCGAGCCCATGCTCCTCCGAACAATGACTCTAATTATACCTACGCGATGTAATTAAAAGAAGGGGTGGGAGGATCCCCGGTGTGTGCGATGCTTTATGTTCCGTAAACAGTGGACTTCAATGGAAGCGTACAACTACTAATTCACTGTTAATTACATCAAATGATTCGCTTGTAATTTGTTTAAAGGCCAAAACGGTTCTTTTCTTCTCTTCCTCTCTATCTTTCTTTGTCATCTCACCACAGGTATACCTCGAGAAACAATCATTCGCAGTTTCGTGCAATGAACTGTACTTACATTGCAATTGGAACAAGCATGACTGATTTCTTTTTTCTTTTTTTTTTTTTTTTTTGCTTGCTTGTCGAATGAGGGATTTAATTAATTTTATTAGCGTTTACGCAAGAATTCTTTTTACCACGTGTATCCGAGGTGATAAGAATCCAACGATAATGGATTGAGACACTCGACTGTTGATTCGACGATTTCGGTTTTGCGGTTTCTTATGCATTTAAAAGTTGCGCGTAGCATAACGTGAAAAATTATACGAAATATTCAAAGTACAATGATTTTTGTGGTATTTCGTACGTGAAGCAATTTCTGTTTCTTTAATTATATTTTTGGTGAAGGTGTAACAATTTTAATTGAAATACTGAAGAATAGAACCTCCAGAGAGAGATACGTGGATCCTTATTAGAGATTGCAGAAATACACGTACATGAAAATGTATAATACTTACTACGAATATTTAGTATCTCTAAGTAAGCAATTTTCTATCTGCAATTCCATTTTTTGATTTATCTTCGTACGAGTTGGCATAAATATTTGCCGTCTACTCGTTATTAATCTAGTCATTTCTTGGACTATATTTGTGCGTATCATCTACATATTGTCTATGCACAAATTGCATATAATTACATGAAATAATTACATTTATAAAGCAAATAAAATCTACATTCTGATTGCAATTATAATTATAACAAAAACACATTTTACACACTACAATATATCTTTCACTCTGATTTATTTGTATCATAAAATGTGATATATAT